GGACGACCATGGCTAATGTGTATGAATATTGATTCCTTCAATTGTGTGACATAAAAGACAATAGTTAACGCTAAGAAATAGCTGTCTTGCATAATAATTGGGGGGTCATCATAATAAAAAGAACGCACTACGAACAAGCGCAAGAAAAGATGGTCTGCAACTGCGTGTGATTAATTGAAAGCCTGTCCACGTCTCCTTCGATCGAAATTTGCCCGTACGTAGCTTTGGTTAGGTAAATGTTGTTGTACGACATGAAGAGAGCTGTTCTAACGAATGAACAAGAACGACGGTTGAATTGCGTGCAGCAACGTTGGCTTCGACTCATCAGGAGAGCTGAAGAACAGGACCACGTAAGGAATGACTCTATTCTCTGAACCCAGTAGATCATTAAGAATAGGATGTTGGCTCTGTCAGACAAACTTATTGCGGTCTAGGAGCTGCTCATGCAAGAGTTAAACTCAGCAGACTTCGACTACGAGGACAGCGTGCAACATGAAGGAAAAAAGTGGAGAGAGGTTTACTCGCAGGGAGGAACGGCTGCTCCTTCCATGGTGCAGCAACATGGAACCTTGTTCGAAACGCATTTTAAAGCTGCGAATGCAGCATACATCACAAACCGGATATATTCTGCTGACAGAAATGAGTCAAGATGACGATTTCAGAAAAAGACACTTCGTTCATCACTCACCTCCACATTTTGGACACATGTCAGTACCGGAGGCGAAAACCTCACTTGCAGTCCTTTCGCAAAGATTTTCGCTTTCCGCTCGGTGGCTCGTGCCGAAGGTGGCAGGGTTCTTCCACGAATACGAGGAAGAAGTCAGGTGTGGCCGTGGATGGTAGAACGTTTCGCCGGTCGACTGAATAGCAGGCGCCGGACATCCGTTCTTCGGTAGCGTGCTGTTGAACGATCCTGACCACAGCCGCGTCGACAAACCGACAACGGCTGCCGCAGCGGCCGAATCGCATGTACCATTGGTCGAATCGAGCACGAGGTCCGGCTTCGTCTGTGAACCGTACCTGTCGCTGTCACATGCAGCGTCGTGTTCATGAAACGACGATCTACAAACGAGAGGAAACCATTAGAGAAATGCTTAGGTCGAAAACACAGAAACTGTCACATCGAAGTCGCCCTC